CACTCACCCCCCGCACTCTGCTCCCCGCAGATGTCAACGTGGACCAGCCGGATGAGAAGTCCATCATCACCTACGTAGCCACCTTCTACCACTACTTCTCCAAGATGAAGGCGCTGGCGGTGGAGGGGAAGCGCATCGGGAAGGTGACGGGGCAGAGGGGGCTGGCGGACAGACAGACGGACAGACAGATGGACAGATGGAGGGCTGGAGGGAGGGAGAGAGGGGCAGAGAGGTGAATGGGCGGGGCAGAGGAATGGAGGAAGAAGATGGATGCGGGCCCAAAGGGATGGACAGACAGACAGAGAGAGAGAGGGGAGATGGACAGCTGGATGGAGAGGAGGACAAAGGGGTGGACAGACAGACAGACAAATGGAGAGAGGAGACGGGCAGGCAGCTGAATGGGCGCCCAAATGGATGGACAGACGGACAGAGAGAGAGGATGGACAGCTAGATGGAGAGGAGGACAAAGGGATGGACCGACAGACGGATGGAGAGGGGTGCCCAAACGGATGGACACCTGGCCAGCTGGCTAGAGGGAGGGAGAGAGGAGATGGACAGACAGCTGAATGGGTGCCTACATGGATGGACAGACAGCCGGGCGGCTGGAGGGAGGAGGTGGATGCTCGACGGAGGGCCGGACAGGCAGCCGGGCAGGGATCTGGCAGGACGGAGCGCGGGCAGGTGGTGGGCAGATGGCTGGCGGGATGAGCCGGGGCCGGCGGAGCAGGGAAGGGGGGGGACGGACAGCAGATGGACAGACGGCCGGCGCCGCAGGTGCTGGACGCGGCGCGGGAGGCGGAGGAGCTGGTGGGGAAGTACGAGGAGCTGGCAGGCGAGCTGCTGGGCTGGATCGAACAGACCATCCTCACCCTCAACGACCGGCAGTTGGCCAACGCGCTGCCCGGCGTCCAGAACCAGCTCCAGGCTTTCAACACCTACCGCACCGTTGAGAAGCCCCCCAAGTGAGCCCCCCGACCCCATGCCGGCCCCACCGCGCCCTGGCTGGGCTGGGGGTGTACGGCGGGGGGCTCAGCGTCGCCTCTCCCCCCTCTCCAGGTTCATGGAGAAGGGCAACCTGGAGGTGCTGCTCTTCACCGTCCAGAGCCGGATGCGGGCCAACAACCAGAAGGTCTACGTGCCGCGGGAGGGGAAACTCATCTCTGACATCAACAAGGTGAGACGGGGACGGTGGCGGCACGGCGCCGTGCCGTACCATACCGGGGCTGATGGGGAGTCGTGCCGGCAGGCCTGGGAACGGCTGGAAAAAGCGGAGCACGAGCGGGAGCTGGCGCTGCGCACCGAGCTCATCCGGCAGGAGAAGCTGGAGCAGCTGGCGGCGCGATTTGATCGCAAGGCGGCCATGCGGGAGACCTGGCTGAGCGAGAACCAGCGCCTCGTCTCTCAGGTGCCGGTCGGTGGGGGGGACTGGGTCGATGGGGGTCCCGCTCCCCACTGCTACCCCCACTTAATGACCCCAGGGACCCGGGTGTTCGGGGGTCCTGCTCCCCACTGCCACTGGCCCTGGGGACCCCAGGTGTTTGGGGGGCCCACTCTCCACCACCACCATCCCCAGGGACCCAAGGTGTTTGGGGGTCCCACTCCCCACGGCCACCAACCCCTAGGACCTGAGGTGTCTGGGGGTCCTGCTCCCTACTGCCATCAACTCTGGGGACCCCAGGTGTCTGGGGGTCCTGGTCCCCACTGCCACCCCCTATTGACCTCAGGGTGACTGGGGGTCCCCAGGGACAGAGGAGCCGGCTCCTACCCTGCCCTTACGTCTCGCCGTCCCCCCCCAGGACAACTTCGGGACGGACATGTCGGCTGTGGAGGCGGCGGTGCGGAAACACGAGGCCATTGAGACGGACATCGTGGCTTACAGTGAGCGGGTGCAGGCGGTGAGCGCGGTGGCGGCCGAGCTGGAGGCTGAGCGTTACCACGACATCCGCCGCGTCCTGACTCGTCGTGACAACGTGGTTCGGCTCTGGGATTTCCTCCGGCAGCTGGTGGCTGCCCGCCGCGAGCGGCTGCTGCTGCACCTGGAGCTGCAGAAGATGCTGCAGGACCTCGTGCATCTCATGGACTGGATGGAGGAGATGAAGGTACTGGCGTGGCGGCAGGTGCGGGGAGCCGGGGGGGGACGACGCAGCGGCCGGACCCTGACACCGCCGTGTCCCCACCTCCCCGATCCCGTAGGGTCGGCTGCAGTCGCAGGATTTGGGGAAGCACCTGCACGGGGTGGACGACCTGCTGCAGATCCACGCGCTGGTGGAGGCTGACATCGCAGCGCAGGCGGAGCGGGTGCGGGCGGTGAGCACCGCGGCGCAGCGATTCGCCATGCCCGCTGAGGGTGAGTGCGGCCAGGGCACCCCGCAGACCCTGGGGACCCCCGGGACCCCTGGTGCATGCTGGCAGACCCCCGATCCCCAGGAGGGCTGGAGCACCCTGGCCCCCAGGCCCCCGGGGGGCCAGTGTACCCCAAACCCCCAGACCCTGGGATGGCCTGAGACCCCCAATCCCCAGGGCAGCCCTCGACCTTGGACCCCAGACCCCCAGGGTGGGTGCACCCTGGACCCCCAAAACCCAGGAGTGGCCCAGATCCCTAAACTCCAGGATGTCCCCCGACCTCAGCCCCCCGGGGCGGCCAGAGCCCCCTGGGCCCCCAAACCCCTGGGATGTCCCCCAGCCCCCCCAGGGCAGCTGGTGCACCCCGAGCCCCCCTCAGGGACCTGCTGGGGGTCCCCGCAGGCTACCAGCCCTGCGAGCCGGCAGCGGTGCGGGAGCGCGTGGCCACGCTGGAGCTGCGTTACCGGGAGCTGGCGGAGCTGGCGGGACAGCGCCGGGCTCGGCTGGAGGAATCGCGGCGGCTCTGGAAATTTTTCTGGGACACCGGGGAGGAAGAAGCCTGGATGCGGGAGCAGGAACGTCTCCTCTCCTCTGAGGACGTCGGCCGGGATCTGACCAGCTCCCTGCGCCTGCTGAGCCAGCACGACGCCTTCCGCGGGGAGCTGAGCGGGCGTGCGGGGCCACTGGAGCAGGCGCTTGCCCGAGGCCGGGGTCTGGCGGCCGAGGGCCGGCTAGGGGCGGCCGAGGTAGCCGAGCGGGTACGGGAGATGGAAGGACGTTGGCGAGCGTTGGCCGAGCTGGCGGCCGAACGCGAGCGACGCCTGCGGGAAGCCGCCGGCTTCTTCCAGTTCCAGGCGGAGGCGGCGGACACAGAGGCCTGGTTGGAGGACGCCCTGCGCCTGGCGTCCAGCCCCGAGATGGGCCACGACGAGTATTCCACCCGCAGCCTGGCCCGGCAGCACCGGGAAGTGCAGGAGGAGGTGCGGAGCCACCGCCCCGCCATCGACGCCCTGCACGAACAGGCTCGCGCCCTGCCACCCGCCTTCGCCGACTTTCCCGGCGCGGCCGGTCGGCTGCCGGCGCTGGAGCGGCGTTACCAGGAATTGGCGGCGCGAGCCGAGCGCCGGCGGCAGGACCTGCAGGACGCTCTCAGCCTCTACACCATGCGCAGCGAGGCGGACGCCTGCGGGCTGTGGGTGGGCGAGAAGGAGCAGTGGCTGCACGCCATGCACGTCCCCGACAAGCTGGAGGACCTGGAGGTGGTGCAGCAGCGGTGAGCGCCGGCACCGGATCCCCCCACTTCCCAGCACGGCCCGGTCCTTCCCGGTGGGTGCTGAGCCCCTGTCCCTGCTCCCTGCCTGCAGCTTTGAGACGCTGGAGCCGGAGATGAATAACCTGGCGTCCCGCGTGGCCGCTGTCAACCGCATCGCCGACCAGCTGCTGGCCACCGACCAGCGCAACCAGGAGAGCATCCGTGCCACCCGTGAGCAGCTCAACGCCAGGTGGGTGGCGGGTGCTGCGGGCAGGCAGGGGTGGTTCTGGCAGGGCAGCTCCAGGCAGGACGACGCTCCATGCAGGGATGCTGTGGGCAGGGTGATGCTCCAGGCAGGGACGGGTGCTTCAGGCGGGCAGCATGATGCTCCAGGCAGGCAGGATGATGCTCCAGGCAGGATGATGCTCCGGGTAGGGACGGGTGCTCAGGCAGGCAGAATGATGGTCCAGGCAGGCAGGATGATGCTCCAGGCAGGATGATGCTCCGGGTAGGGACGGGTGCTCAGGCAGGCAGAATGATGGTCCAGGCAGGCAGGATGATGCTCCAGGCAGGGATGCTGTGGGCAGGATGATGCTCCAGGCAGGGATGGGTGCTCCAGGCAGGCAGGATGATGCTCCAGGCAGGGATGCTGTGGGCAGGATGATGCTCCAGGCAGGGATGCTGTGGGCAGGATGATGCTCTGAGCAGGGATGCTGTGGGCAGGATGATGCTCTGAGCAGGGATGCTGTGGGTAGGGTGACGCTCCGTGCAGGGACGGGTGCTCCAGGCAGGCAGGATGATGCTTCAGGCAGGATGATGCTCCAGGTAGGGACGGGTGCTCAGGCAGGCAGAATGATGGTCCAGGCAGGCAGGATGATGCTCCAGGCAGGGATGCTGTGGGCAGGATGATGCTCTGAGCAGGGATGCTGTGGGTAGGGTGACGCTCCGTGCAGGGACGGGTGCTCCAGGCAGGCAGGATGATGCTTCAGGCAGGATGATGCTCCAGGCAGGGATGGGTGCTCCAGGCAGGGATGGGTGCTCCAGGCAGGCAGGATGATGCTCCAGGCAGGGATGCTGTGGGCAGGATGATGCTCCAGGCAGGGACGGGTGCTTCAGGCGGGCAGCATGATGCTCCAGGCAGGCAGGATGATGCTCCAGGCAGGGATGGGTGCTCCAGGCAGGCAGGACGATGCTCCAGGCAGGGACGGGTGCTTCAGGCAGGGATGGGTGCTCCAGGCAGGCAGGACGATGCTCCAGGCAGGACGGCTGGGCAGCCGCGGGCAGGGTGGGCCGCTCTGGGTGCGGTGCCGGCAGAGGTGTTCCCCCTGACCCTGGTGCCACACAGGTGGGAGCGGTTCCGCGCGCTGGCCGACCAGAAGAAGGAGGCGCTGACGTCGGCCCTGAACATCCAGAACTACCACCTGGAGTGCAACGAGACCACGTCCTGGATGCGGGAGAAGACGAAGGTGATCGAGTCGACGCAGGGGCTGGGCAACGACCTGGCTGGTGTCATGGCCCTGCAGCGCAAGCTCTCGGGCATGGAACGCGACCTAGAAGCCATCCAGGGCAAGGTGCGGGACTTGCGAGCCGAGGCGGAGAAGTTGGCAGCCGAACACCCGGAACAGGCGCCTGCCATCCTGGCCCGGCTGTCGGCCATCGAGGCGGTGTGGGACGAGCTGTGCCGCAGCCTGCGGCGACGCGAGGAGTCGTTGGGGGAGGCCAGCAAGCTGCAGGGCTTCCTGCGGGATCTGGCCGCCTTCCAGGCCTGGCTATCCCGCACCCAGACGGCCGTGGCCTCCGAGGACGTGCCGGCCACCCTGGCCGAGGCTGAACGGTTGCTGAGTCAGCACGAGAGCATCCGTAAGGAGATCGCCCACTACGGCGACGACTACCGCAGCACGCGAGCCGTGGGCCGGGAGGTGACGCAGGGACAGACGGACGCGCAGCACGTCTTTCTGCACCAGCGCCTGGAAGCTCTGGACACGGGTTGGGAGGAGCTGGGGAGGATGTGGGAGAACCGCCACCATCTCCTCTCCCAAGCCTTCGCCTTCCAACTCTTCCTCCGTGACTCCAAGCAGGTTGAGGGCGTCCTCAGCACCCAGGTGAGCAGCTGGGGAGGTGAAACCGGCAGCGCTGGCGGCGGAGGGGGGACCCTGGGGTGCCGGAGGGACAGTGGTGATGCCCGGTCCGGTGCCCTGCGCAGGAGTACGCCCTGTCGCACACGGAGATGCCCAGCACGCTGCCGGGAGCCGAGGCTTCTGTCAAGAAGCACGAGGACTTCATGGCCACCATGGAGGCCAACGGGGAACGTGTCCAGGGGCTGGTAGCCACCGGCCGCAAGCTGGTGGCCGAGGGCAGCCTCCACGCTGACAAGGTGCAGGAGACGGTGGATTCGGTGGAGAGCAGGTGAGGGGACCCCCATGTCATGGCCCAGCCTCACCAATGGGGTCTCTGGCCCAGCTGTCATCCCCTGCCCTCGCTACAGGCACCAGAAGAACCGGGACACAGCCCAGGAGCTGCTGGGGCGGCTACGGGACAACTGGGAGCTGCAGCGGTTCCTGCAGGATGGGCAGGAGGTGAGCGCGGGACACTGGGAGGGACGGGATGGGGTGGGAATGGGGATGAGGACAGGCTGAAGATGGGAACAGGGATGGGACAGAGCCGGCACGGCGTAACAACCCCGTTCCCGCTCTCGCCCCTGGCAGCTCACGCTCTGGATCAACGAGAAGATGCTGACGGCCCAGGACGTCTCCTACGAGGAGGCTCGCAACCTGCACACCAAGTGGCAGAAGCACCAGGCCTTCGCGGCCGAGCTGGCCGCCAACAAGGGCTGGCTGGAGAAGATGGAGAAGGTGGGGGGGCTGGGGCGAGGCCGGGGTGCCGGGACCCCCCACTGCCGTGGCCCCACTGACGCCAGTATCCCCGGCAGGAGGGCCAGCAGCTGGTGTCGGTGAAGCCAGAGCTGGGGACGGTGGTGACGGAGAAGCTGGCGGCGCTGCGGGGGCTGTGGGACGAGCTGGAGTCGACCACGCGGACGAAGGCGCGGCGCCTGTTCGACGCCAACCGCGCCGAGCTTTGCGCCCAGTCCTGCGCGGCGCTGCGGGGCTGGCTGTCTGGCGTGCACGCCCAGCTGCGCTCCGACGACTACGGCAAGGATCTCACCAGCGTCAACATCCTGCTCAAGAAGCAGCAGGTGGGTCCGGCGGGGGGACGGGGTCTGCGGGGACGGGGTTTGCAGGGGACGGGGTGCAGGAGATGGGGTGCAGGGGACGGGGTGCAGGGGACGGGGTGCAGGAGATGGGAGACAGGGGACAAGGGTGCAGAAGGAAGGGGCACCCAGCACAGGGGGTGCACGAGGATGGGGTGCAGAGGACAGGGGTGCACAGGGATGGGGTGGATGGGGACGGGTGTAGGAGATGGGGTGCATGGGAATGGGGTGCGTGGCCCAGGGGGTGCGTGGGGACAGGGTACAGGGGATGGAGGTGTGCAGGGAAGGGTGCCCGGCATGGCAGGGGGCCTGGCACGGGGTCACTCACCCTCCCCATGCCCTGGGCAGATGCTGGAGAAGCAGACGGCGGTGCGGGAGAAGGAGGTGGAGGCAATCCGGGCGCAGGCACAGGCCCTCAGCCGGGAGGATGCCAGCGCGGCCGAGGTGCAGGGGCAGGTCCGTGCCGTGGAGGAACAGTTCTTGGGGCTGCGGGAGCCGCTGCGGGAGCGTTGCCGAAAGCTCCTGGCCTCCAAGGAGGAGCACCAGTTCAACCGCGACCTGGAGGACGAGATCGTGAGTGGGCTCCCAGCCGTGGGAGGAGACCCCCGGCACCCCTGACCCCCCACCCTCCCTGACCCTCTGTCTTCCACCAGCTGTGGGTGAAGGAGCGCAGACCCCTGGCTGTGTCCACCGACCATGGCAAGGACCTGCCCTCCGTCCAGCTCCTGATAAAGAAGAACCAGGTGGGTCGGGGGGGTCCGGCAGCCACCGCTGGCCCCCGTGGGGGTCCCACCATCCCCAGGACCAGTCCTGCTCACCCCATGCGTCCCATTCTCCCCCCGCTTCCAGACGCTGCAGAAGGAGCTGCAGGGCCATGAGCGGAGGGTGGAGGAGCTGCTGGGACGGCGCGGGGGGCTGTCAGGCCCAGCTGAGCGGGTGCGGGAGCTGCGGGAAGCCTGGCAGGAGCTGCGGCTGCAGGCGGAGCTGCGGCACCGGCGCCTGGAGCGGGCTCACGCCGCCCAGCAGTTCTACTGCGACGCCGCTGAGGCCGAGGCTTGGATGGGCGAGCAGGAGCTGCACATGATGTCCCAGGAGAAGGCGAAGGTACGGCTCCCGGCTGGTGTGCCCCCCCACCCCAGCCCCGTGCCCCCTCCCACCCTGAGCCTCTGTGATCCCCCCCCCACCCTCAGGACGAGCTGAGCGCCCAGGCCATGGTCAGCAAGCACCTGGTGCTGGAGCAGGCGCTGCGGGACTATGCCCACACCGTGCACCAGCTCTCGGCACAGAGCCGCGACATGGTGGCCAGCGGGCACCCCGAGAGGTGGGTAACATCCCCGGGTCCGCCTGCATTGTCCCACGGGGGCTGTGTGACCCCCCCCCACCTCCCATCCCCACATCCGTTGTCCCACGAGGACCATGTCCGCCCCGCTACCTCCCATCCCCACGTCCATCATCCCTCAAGGACCATGTCCCCCCTGCCACCTCCCATCCCCACATCCGTTGTCCCACGAGGACCATGTCCGCCCCGCTACCTCCCATCCCCACGTCCATCATCCCACAAGGACCATGTCCCCCCTGCCACCTCCCATCCCCACATCCATCATCCCACGAGGACCATGTCCCCCCCGCCACCTCCCGTCCCCACATCCATCATCCCACGAGGACCGCATCCCCCCCGCCACCTCCCACCCCGGCACACATCGTCCCCCGCCAGCGGGTGCCCGGTGCCGGTGCCACCGGAGCTGACAGCGGCCGTGCCCGCAGCGAGCGGCTGACGCTGCGCCAGGGCCAGGTGGACAAGCTCTACGCCAGCCTGAAGGACCTGGCGGAGGAGCGCCGGGCCACGCTGCAGGAGCACCAGCGGCTCTGCCAGCTCAAACGCGACGTGGACGACCTGGAGCAGTGGATCTCGGAGCGGGAGGTGGTGGCCGCTTCCCACGAGCTGGGGCAGGACTACGAGCACGTCACGGTGCGGGGACGGATGGGGCGGGAGGGCGCCGGGGTGTCCCCGTGTCCCCTCCCTGCCGTCCCCGACATGGCTCGCCCCCTCCCCGCAGATGCTGCGGGACAAGTTCAGGGAGTTCTCGCGGGACACCAGCAGCATCGGGCAGGAGCGGGTGGACGGCGTCAACGGGCTGGCGGACACGCTGATCGCGGCGGGGCACTCGGAGAACGCCACGGTGGCCGAGTGGAAGGACGGGCTGAACGAGGCCTGGGCCGAGCTGCGTGGCAGCAGCCAGGGCCGGCGCCGGCTGCTCCTCGACACCGTCGACAAGTTCCGCTTCTTGCGGGCGGTGCGGGACCTGCTGCTCTGGATGGACGGCGTCCGCCTGCAGATCGAGGGCCAGGAGCGCCCGCGGTGAGCGGGACGGGGCAAGGGGCACGTGCCGGGGCGGCGGTGGTGCCGAGGGGACGCTGACCGCGTCCCCGTCCTCGGCGCAGGGACGTGTCCTCGGCCGATCTGGTGATCAAGAACCACCAGAGCATCAAGGCGGAGGTGGAGGCGCGGGCCGACAGCTTCGACGCCTGCGTGGCCATGGGCACTGCGCTGCTCGACAAGGGCCACTACGCCGCCGACAAGGTGGGGCCTTCTCCGTCCCCGCGTCCCTGTCCTCATCCCAGCCCCACGTCCCC